GTGGCAAGAGGAGGTGACTGATCATTGGTACAGAGTTTCTTGGGGGGAGGTGATAAAAATGTTCTGAAGTTGATTGTGGTGATAGTTGCACACCACAAGGCATGTACCGAAAACAGAAAAAAGAAAAAACAAGGGAGAGAGAAGAGAGAGAAAGCAAAATCTAGACTGTAGAGCGATCTAGACTCGAGGGAAGAAAACAACCGTGGGTTGGGACCTGGACCACCCAATAGTACAATCTGTTTCTTCTCAACGCACCCAGAGATAGTAGATGTCTTGCTTACTGGTGAACGTACTTGGCATTGCAGCTTTGAAAAATCCCTCCCTGCTCTGACAAGGTTATAGATGCTTTGTGAGAAAAAGTCCAAGAAGCTAAGCCATTTCCCAAGCCCCTTCCTTTATGGGAGGAGTAGCTTTGCTATGTGCCGACCTCACTTGAAGCATTTGTTCTTAGCTGGTCCTGTCCACTTTGTCACAGACCTTTACTCATTTCTTTCAAAATGGGAACTTTTTTTTTTTTTAACGATCCAGCCTGCCCACGTTGTTGTTTTTTCAGTTTTTAAAAAACAGATTTTCAAATTTATAAGCATGGTAAAACAAAAACGCCTAATCTGATCCAAGCTATCTTTGCCTTTTAATCACAGTGAATTTCACCCTCAGGTATACTTTATTCTCACTGCAATGTATGGTTTTGGTACTGTTTCAAATTATAGTAGGAAGTTCTGTGTTGGCCCCGCTAATCAAGGTGACCAAAATGCAATGTGCAGGAGATAAATACTTACTTCACCAGTTCTAGCCAAACGGAATTCGCGCAAAGACTCTAAAAGACAAAAAGGAAATTAGGGTCATGTTGTTAGAACCATCACAAAGAATACAATCTGAAGAAAACATGGAAAATAAGAATAAATGTGTCCTTATCTCTTTCATGTTTCTTGAAGCCAAAGCAAGATGGCCAAGTTTTTAGCTGGTTCCAGAAGCATTTTTTCTACCTTTGTCTTTCCACTTTTGTACATTGCCCTAAAGCCTTCCCTACCAACCTCACCCAGCCCAACCCTCCCACCTCTGTGATAACCTTCTGCCAGCTGTGTCTCTTCCCCGAGTCAGAAACCTTTCTTCTTCCCATCATCTGTTTTTGATAAGTATAGCCCATCTTGCTAACACTGCTGCTAGATTGTGGAAAATAACCTGCTAGAACTAATTTATTCTTTTTTTTTTTTTAATTTTTTTTTTCAACGTTTATTTATTTTTGGGACAGAGAGAGACAGAGCATGAACGGGGGAGGGGCAGAGAGAGAGGGAGACACAGAATCGGAAACAGGCTCCAGGCTCCGAGCCATCAGCCCAGAGCCTGACGCGGGGCTCGAACTCCCGGACCAGGAGATCGTGACCTGGCTGAAGTCGGACGCTTAACCGACTGCGCCACCCAGGCGCCCCTGATTTATTCTGGTTTGATCCCTAGGTCTCCCCGGTGGCGTTTGCATTAAAACGGGGGATCCCACAAACAAGAATCCTTAACCAAAGAGGGGAATTGACATGAATAGGGTCCGAAGCACCTAAGCAGATCTGGGCTAGAGATACTTTTGAATGAAGGAAAAGTGAAAGTCAACGGCTGTTGTAAAATTATTTGGAAATGATCCTCTCCTCACCATCAAATGCTACATTTCTTTATGCTTGTCAATTACATTTGTCCAGGGGTTTATTTTTTAAGCCATTCTCATTTAGCCTTTCTTCATACTAGTCACAATTGACATAAAGTATCTCTTAAACCAAGTCGTGAGAACCCTGAAAGATGAAAAAATAGAGGAGTAAAGGGATTTGAACAGAGCTAGTGAGTGGCTTTAACTTCGATCTGCTAGAGGTCGGGTTTAGTGTTCTCTTCTAGAGGAAACGGCAGCAGACTTTTTAATTGAGGAAGCCAACCTAACAGGGTTTCCTCCGCGTGTGCTTGCTTTCCAGCTTGCATTTCAGAAAGAGCCCGTAAGAGTTTTGAGTTATTGTGTGACGTTGATTTCCGAGGGTCAGATGTTGAAGGAGTTTGGACTCTACGTATTGGCTCATAGGGATGGTGCTTTGGGTATTTATTTGCAAAGTGAACTGTGTTCACATACCTGAGCAACAAATAATTGAAGACAGTTTTCTGTTTTCCTTCACCTCATAGATTTTTGCATCAAGATGTTACCATTGTAAAAAGTCAATAACGTGGAAAATGTTTTAAGTTGCGTTTCAAAGATTAGAAAGAAGTTTTACTGCTTTTAACCTCTCTCTTATTTTTATTTTCCAATATGGGCACCTCCCCAAATAGAGGAAAGATGCAGAAGATTTTATCATTCATTTTTGCCCTTTAAAAATTATTATGTATTCTTTTTTTAAAAAAATTTTTTTTCAACGTTTATTTTTTATTTATTTTTGGGACAGAGAGAGACAGAGCATGAACGGGGGAGGGGCAGAGAGAGAGGGAGACACAGAATCAGAAACAGGCTCCAGGCTCCGAGCCATCAGCCCAGAGCCCGACGTGGGGCTCGAACTCACGGACCGCGAGATCGTGACCTGGCTGAAGTCGGATGCTTAACCGACTGCGCCACCCAGGCGCCCCATATGTATTCTTCTTTTGAAAAATCAACATGTATAATGGTAATATTTAACTGTTTTTGACCCCTCTCTTCCCTCTTCCCATTTAAAATGTGATGTATAAATAACAGTGGAAAAATTCTCCCACCACTATTCCATTAACTGTCCATGACATTGACCTTTTTTGGATTTACTTTCATAATACAAGCTACACTAATTCTTTAAGAAAAGATTCTGAGAATACTGTGCCTTAATTCGTCAGGCTTGCCCACTTTTTCCACTGTCCAATGGGCTCTTTTTCCCTTTTCTTCTTCTCTTTTTTATTTTCCGACATATTTTTTGGTTCAGGTACTTATTCAAATCTCTCTGATAAGCAGTTTGATTTGCAGCTAATTGTAGCAACAGATTTTCATTATTTATGAGTGTCATTGTCAGAACCCATTTCCAAGTCTGACCAAGATAAAGCTGATTCCGACTTCTGATATGACCACAGCAATAAAGCAATTAACCACACTAGTTAAAATGTGCTGAGGCCTGGAGGCTACTGATACCTTTATAACCAAATATGTACTATATTGTGCATTATGTTTGACTCACTTCCTAGAAGATTCAACATGTTGTTATTTTATCACAAATCACCTATGACATCCGCTTTTAAAACCTACAGTGTTGTGTTAGCTCTCACACCAGCCAATTAACTTTAAGATGTTCGTAGATTGAAGAGATAGAAGTAGGAAAATGAAAACTATGAGTGATCTAAATGCTTCACATTCTTGAAAGGTTGGTTTTATGTAGTGGCATTTAAATCAGTCGTTGTGTGCTGTTATTCTTTACATGGATTTTGATTCTGGTCGGTACCTAAATCTAAATCTCAGACTCCATCACACCAGCACGAGACAAGAAATGGAAGAGTCATATACCTGCATCCTGCAAGCAAACATATTTCTCCCTCTACTCATCCACAGGCCCATAAAACATACGTGAAAGTTCAAGAATACATACACGATTGGCAAAGTCATTAATAAGAGTAGTCATTTTAAAGTGTCACCTAATTTAAACACTTTTACTTTAAGTTATTGCCGTGTCATGGGTTTTATTATGCTCAATTTATTAGTAAAGGCCCGCAGGGTTCACAGCCGTTTATTTTTCAGGGAACTTGATTTTATCATTAATTTTTAAATACATTTTTCTCCCACTTTATTTTTAGAGTGCACTTTATTTGCAAAAATTGGTTTACTCTGATCAATACCGATGTTTCCAGGTGATTACTAAAGCACAATGTCTAGAAAGTCATATGTCTGCAAATTTTCAAGGCATGACACTCCAAAATATAGTATATGTACACACACACACACACACACACACAGGATTTGTGTTTACATCGGTTGCTAACTTAAGGTGGGAATATGTAGTAAAGATTGACCAAGCTCCTATTTCTACTTAACAAGTAACTTAGTCTCTTTTCTCTTGCAAAGGAGTGACATCTGGGTGGGAAAAATCCCATCATTTAGGACTAGAGCCAAGACACCAGAGATAACTCTGACAGTTTCTCTTGCTTCCCAAGTTGTGAAACAAACTTCGATCACTGATAACCAGTCCTTTCTCTGGGCTGAGTTGGCATGGCGTGTTCTCCTTGGCTTACCTCTCTCTGGAGGTGCTTACGGGCTTAAGTGGTTGACAAAGGAGCCCTAAGTGGGGGTGTGTGGGAAGTCAGGGGAGGAACCCCACCCGCCCGCCATAATTGCACCCACTTGACCATATGCCATGCTTTGCTAATGTAAACACCTGGTGCTGATAACTGAAAAACCTGAATGCTTGAGTGTTTATTTTAGGGAGATTTCTTTAAAAAAAAAAAAAAAAAGAAGAAGAAGAAGAAAATGAAACATGTACTCACTAGTTGTTATCTTTTTTTCCCCCTAATTAGGACAGAATTTTACCCTAAGGCAGTTAGGAGTTTGTGAACCAGCAACTCGAAGAGGACTTGTGTTTTGTGCGGAAATGGGGCTCCCCCACAGAGGTTACTCTATCAGTGCAGGGTCAGATGCTGATACTGAAAATGAAGCAGTGATGTCCCCAGAGCATGCCATGAGACTTTGGGGCAGGGGGGTCAAATCAGGCCGCAGCTCCTGCCTGTCAAGCCGGTCCAACTCAGCCCTCACCCTGACAGATACGGAGCACGAAAACAAGTCAGACAGTGAGAATGGTAAGTACCATTTTTTGCTCTATAATGTTGGCCTTCAGAGCTGCTGTCTGTTTTAGCCAAATGTGGGGGCATGCTTCTCTTCCTTTCTTCTCTCCTCACATTTCTTCCTTCTCTTTCTTCCTCCTTCCTTTCTTTTGGTTCTAACGCAGTAGAACTCAAGAAGTGTCCTTGAATAATGCATTTTTTTTTTTCCTGGGAAAAAATCAATATTCGACATCAGATGGTTAAATTATGCAAGCAGTCTATGATGTGTTAGCAATAGTTTTGAAAAACATTTTAATTATGTACAGAAAAAAAAAAAAAAAGATTAGCTTTGACTTATCTTGGACCATGTCACCTGTTATTCTCTGTGGGGTAGCAAAGCAAGTGGTGATAAAGTTTACCCCAGAGCCAGCTTGTAATCAAAGATGTCTTTGTAGATTCCTCTTGAAGATATCTCAAAGTTGCAGAATCTTAGAATGGATGAGTGAGCACACAGAAGAGTTTATTAACAGGGCTCAAGTGATTGAAGAACAAATTTGATCATGCTTTAAACTTACTAGTTGATGAGAGCCATTGAAATTTTGGTAAAGAGGGAGAGTGTGGTTTTTGATGTGCTTTGCGGACTGGATTATTATGCAGTTAAGTCCACACACAGAAACTGCATTGTAGGATATCCAAATAGCAGTGTTGCATACTGTAAGAAAGGTGTCTTTAGAAATTATTGGGATTTTTTTCTTAGTGCCAATGCGGGATAATAATAACAGTTCATCTATATACAATAATAGCTTTAAAAGGAAACTTAATTTTTCGTCAATATTGCTTTTAAGAAGAATTGGGGCGTCAGTGCCAACGTCCCAGACAACAAAAGGACATTTCTCTGTCGGCATTTAGTATTAACGGTGCCCTTGCTACTTTAATATAGTTATTGACGCTATGTGTGTATGATGCACCAGGAAGCAAGGAGAAAATTAAAATGGAGGAATTGCATGACATTTGAAAAGAAAGATGGTTGTTTCACCAACGGCGTTTCATTTGTATTATTTATTGACCAACTTTGTCAGCTTCGCTTTGCCATAGGAAAGCAGGTCTGTTCAGCTTTCCGTTTTAGCTGCTACAGGACGGAGTGGTGCCTAATGCTTTCACTCTTACCGGCTTCCCTTCGAGTCACAAAAAAAAGTCTCACTTAAACCGACTAACATAGTATCTTATGTAGAATACTTCAGCGCGTCAAACTAAAGTCAAGATCGATTAATGATTCGCACTCACTGTATTCATTTTGGAAGTGTCAGTTCTTGATGGTGGCTGGCTTTATTCCAGCCCCAAACAGGAAACAAGGACGTTTCTTTCTGACAAAATGAGTCTTCGAATCAGGCTCCCAGCGTTTCTCTGAGCTAATCCACTCACCTCGGTAAAACCTGTATTTGTATCTGCTTTCGCTGGGGATTCAGAAGTTCCTGACCTTAAATGCGTAAGCGTTGGTACCAACTTTGTTTCCTGTCTATCCGAATCTTCAGGTACGATGGTTATATTCCAACGTAGCACTCGGCATTTGATTTCCCTAAACTACATGATTAAAACTTATGGTAGTTATAGAAAAAAATAGAACGCAGCAAGATAATGCATTTGTTTCTGATTATCTGCATTATATCCATACCCGTATCCATTAAATATTGTCTCGTATCGGGTCAGATTGTTCTTTCCACTCACAATCTTTGTGGCATCTTTATCCTTTCTAATGACAAATGTATCCTGTTAGAGCATCTGTATTCGTAAAACAGAAATGAAGTGTACGATTTTTAAAATTCTACACCTGCTGAAGCGATTTCACGGTGAATGCCCCAACACATGCCGTTTTTTTGTTTTTTGTTTTTTGTTTTCTTTTTGGAAAATCTAAAACTTACCAAATTTTCAACTTTTAGTTAAGAGTATGAAATATCCAAATGGCAGGGAGGAGAGAAGGAAGACTGAGTTTCTCCCTACCATGGACCCTCACCATCTGCATGGACTGTCATTACCTAGAGGAGGTCCTCGCCTCCCCTGCTCCCTGGTAGACCTTGTTCATGGAGTTACGTCAAGGTGAGAGAAGGTGTGCTCTTTCCTGCCTCCAGGTGCTTGTTATGAAACAGAATGAAGAGAGACAGGAAGAGGGTGTCAAGGGCCCTGCATCGAAATTCAGAACATTTGGTAGCATTTGTTGAGAGTAAACAACAGGTCAGCCAAGTTAAGAGTATAGAGTGTCAAAAACAATGTTTGTTGAGCTGGGCAAGGGATGACTTAAACTCGTGTTTACTCTTTTCCCCAAGGTTTGGCTGTGGTTGTTTAAAAAAAAAAAAAAAACACAACAACAACAAAAAACATTTTGATGGTCCAAGAAGTCCCAATGAGGTCAGCCCAGGGAAGAAAACAAAAAAGCAAACAAAATAGATATGGCCTCTGAAGGAACACTGGTTGTCGCGTAGATTTACTATGTACGGCCATAGGAGCATTTCAGATTAATGTATTTGTTCTGAATTGTCACTGATCAGTCCGAAGGAGCAAGATTCCACTAAAAGGAATTAATTGCATTAAGAGGTGGGAAAGCATACTTTTCTGGGATATGTAGCAGATCTTTTGAATTGTGGAATGAAACAAGAGTATTGAGGAATTTTTTTTTTTCCTGATATAAAAACTATGGATATCTTTCTTAAGCTGAGTTATAGGGAAAACTAGAATCCATAATCCTACACACGGCCTTCTAACATCCTTCTAAGCCGTATCCTCAAAACTGTTACGTAGTTTGCTGTTACTATTTCTGGTCAAATATTTCTAATATAAAATAAACATAATTGAATTCTGTCCTCGGTTATTCTTCACAGCTCTAAGTTTGAGAGGCTATTGATTTTTCCAGTGATATCTTTCTTTGCTTTTCATTATTTTAAGTGTCTAATATCATTCACTGTACTAGCTTCAGATGCATCATTGGAAGTTCTATTATATCACTATAGGTCGAAACAAGAGGGACATGTGAGAAATAACTCACCAAAATGAAACGAATTCAGGAACCAGACATTGCCTTGTTTTCATCCGGTTTAGCACTGGAGTTTTCGTTGACTGTTTTCATCATTTGAAATAACTGTGAATAGGCTGTTTTCCCCAGAAAACTGTTATTCAACATTTGTAAAATTATGCAAGCCAAGTGCCCGATGTTCTAGTTGAAACTTCAAAGAAGAGTGTAGTCACTAAAAGGGATTAGGTTTCATTTATTTATTGATAAAGAGGCCAACAGTTCAAGTTAAGAAGGCGCTAGAACGGCTGTGAGGCTAATGAAATTTTGATGGTCTGAGCATCCCACAAGAGGAAAGGAACATTCGGACCATGTCACACGTCTCCATGTTAGCAGAGATTCAAAACAAGTGATAAAATTTATTCTTTTGCAAAACTAACTCTTCACCAACCACGGGGATTTGAAGTTAAAAAAGCATTTTGGGGAAAGAATTTTTTTTTTTCCGGCATATTGAGTTACGTATGCAATTCCAAATGTTGATCTTGTTCTGAGTTAAGGATATGGGAGAAGACTGTTCTAGACACATAGTGCTTGCTGTGGTCGTTCTCCTCATTCTCCAGCCAGATACTGGTGGGGCAGTGGTTTGTGGTCACCTACTAAGCCGCCGTTCTGGTAAGCTGTTGAGAGGTGACAAAATAAACGTGAGGAGTCGCCCTCATCAAAGGTAGAATTACCAGTATGCTCTGGGTTGTTTTAAGCATCTTTCCTGTCTCTGATGTATTGTTAAAAGACCCCCGGCTGAATTTCCGCTCTCCAGCTTTTCCAGCTTTGCAGGTAATCTGATCTCAGTTCCAACTGTCTATTTAAATGTCAGGAACAAAGGACTTTTTTTTTTCCCCCAAGACATCAACCTTTAAGCTTTAAAAATGTTTGTTTGTGCATCTTTTCCCAGAAGAAGCCAAAACATAGAACATCCTTTGTCATCCGGCGGTGCGGCATCATGAAAGGTGCCTGGGTTTAGAATCACACTGGTCAAGGTTTCAGTCTCTTCTTTCAGCAGCTGCGACTCTTGGCTCCTGAATCACCCGGAGCTGGAGTTCCCAACTTTCCCCTCTCTGCCTGCTCGTCTTCGGGGGTACTGCAGTCCCAGAGGTGCGGTGCTGTCCTGCTGAGGTCCTCGTCTTGGTTCATCTCCCTCTCTCCGTGGTCTCTTATGCCCCTTGGAAAGCCATGACCTTTGAAGTTAGACCAGGAGGAGCTGGCACTCCTCTTCCGCCTCATTGTCATTCTGGACCTCGAGGGCCTCCACTGAGGGATGGTTGAGGACATGTCATCAGGGGGCAGATCACCTGGGTTTGCATGGGTCTCACCACCTCTGCGCTGTGTGACCTTGAACAAGGTAGTTGACCTTCCTGTGCTGCAGTTTCCACAGGGTTAAAATAGAGAAAATGGCACATAGCATATAGTCCGTATAGGGCTGCTGTAAGGATTAAACGAGTTCAGATCTACAGAGCTCATCGTGTGCCTAGAACACTGGCGTCGAGTGAGTGCCCAAAAGCGCGCGTTCTTATCATCTGTAAAAAGTGGACGATTATGTCTCCTTCCTAAGAGGTGATGGGGATTGAGTTAGATAAGCATCATCAAGTTACCTCCACCGTTTTGGCCCACAGCGAATCCCCCCTCCTACCCACCCCCGTCTCTTTTTACTCTCTCTCTCTCTCTCTGTCTGCATTAGTTTTGTACGTGTGTCGAGAGGAGGGAGAGCTAGTGGTCTCCAGAAAAGGCACTGATAATTTGCATAGTCTGGTGTTTCTGTCGCCATTTATTGACTCTTTTATTTTCCTCCCAAACCCCACATCCTTTTTAATTTACTGTAATTAAATGAATGTACATTGAATGGTGCCGATAATTAGTCTGATGGCTGTAGACTTCAAAGACTTTTAGCCTGCTCCTTCCCCTCCTGGCCAAAGGAAATTTCAAAAGTAGTGTTTCCCTCAAAGGCATGTTACTTAGACAGCCAGTCAATTAAAAGGCA